TACTAATAAACCTTCCTCCGGCCCTGCTGCTGTGCTCCTCTTCAGGGTCCGGCTTCCTGGATTATTTGCTGTGCACATAAACTGAATATGGTGAAAGAATACAACCCTGATACACACCTATCCTGATTGTAAGCCATGCAGTCACCCCTTATTCGGGTTGAAAGAGTGCACACACTACTGAATCAGAGTTCTTGGATTGGCTCTATTCCAACCCATTAGTGAGGGAGGTATCGTCCAAAAATGACTGAAAATGTACAGCATTGCACCTGCTTGTTAGCATAACTCAACTAGCATTCCATCAGTTCCTCAACTTTGGTCTTGGCCCGATCTTAATAGCAGTTTGGATTTCTTCCTTCAGTACCATCCGTTCTTGACTGTATGTTCCTTTTAAAACTTGAGTAATTGGTTGAAGACTGACCAAGCCTTTTTGGTTTGGTGTGTACTGCTTCCCATCCTATTCAGTATTTTGCCCACCAATCCATCAGTGTTGCAACTTGAGACTTTTAAGTTCTTTGACCTTGAAAAAGACCAAATGTGTTCTAAATCCAGGTCTTTGCACATTTCATTGGAATATTTTATACCTGTATTCTCAAGCCATACTTTAAAATCTTCGGTTCAGCTATTTTTCTTCATTTCTTACATCTGCTTTAACTACACTGCTCAGAGTCTCTTCTGACATGCACGTTGGTCTTACTTTCCTGTCCTTTTACTTTCTTTACATTGTTGTCTTTGATGCCATTTCACAAGCCATCTGGTCTTTGCTCATTACTGTTCAATGTGTTGAAACTGCTCTAGTAATCTTCTTGAAATCCAAAGGCCCTATAGACTCATGGTCTTATTTTCGGTGCTGTGGACTTATTTTCATTTTCTTCTACTTCAGCCTGAACTTACCTACGAGCAGTTGATGGTTTGCTGCAGGTGGTGCTTGGCCTTGTTTGGGCTGAGGATTCTCAGCTTCCCTATTGTATCTTCCCACAGCTTTAGTTGACTTTATTCCTGTGTATTCCATTAGTGTTCTATGTGTGAAACTTAATTTTGAAATGTTTTCTTAAAGGATACTGGCTCTCTCAGGGACTTGGAAATTCTTCCTGAAACTTCATACGTGCAACTGATGGTCTGTTTTGCAGTTGGCCTCTGGCAATGGTCTGGCAGTGTCTTTTCACGGATGTGCCCTGTTTGATTCCTTTGTATTCCACCTGGCAAGGCCCATGCCTATCTATAGTCACTGCATATGCTGTGGCAGAAGGAGCATTTGTGGTAGCTTACTCTTTGGCCTGGCGAAAGTAGATGGGATCTCCAGCAGCATTTCTATCACCAAGGAGGTACTTTCCAATTACTGATGCTTCTTTATTTTCTAATTTTACATTCCAACCACCGGTAATTCTGAGTGCAACTGGATTGCACATTTAATCAGTCTTGGACTGCAGAAGTTGATAAAAATGATCTATTTCTTCATCGTTGGCATTGGTGGCTGATGTACAACTATGCTAATAATCATATTATATCCAGATGCATATGGGGGTCTTCTACCACTAAATTCACTAACAGTGCTGTAATTCCAACGTAGAGCTTCTAATAATTTTTTTCAACAATGAATGTGACACCGTATCGCTTCAATTTGATATTCCTTGCATAGTAGACCAGCCTATTCCAGGTCACTAGTGCCTAAAATACCAATTTTTATGTGTTCTACCTCATTTTTGACCACATGCAATGATCACAGATTCATACTTCATCCAGTCCATATTCTGATTTTTGAAGAATGTTTGTAGCTGTTTCTTCTCATTTTGACACGCCCTATCAGTAAATGAAGGTTCTGATAGCTTTGGTTCCTTCTTACAATTCTAGGCAACTTCACTTGGAAGAGGACGCTCTTTCCTAGTCACATTGGTGAGTGCCATTCATACCGATGAGTGCCATTCAATCATCTTCGGTGTTGTAACAGACGGTGTTATGCTGGTGTTCACAATGGCTTCACTTTATTATTATTTTTTAAGACAATGAAGGCCAGGTCTTTTTTCCTAGTCTATCTTAAAGTGGATGCTCAGGAGGAACCCATCATGGATAACACGACAGGCATTTGAAAGACTACTGGCACAGCTTCCAGCATCACAGCAACACGCAAGCCACCAGAGTATGTATGACACAAGGACAGGCAAGTGTGGCGTTTCCTCTATCACTGTGAAATTATTAACCTTAATAGTAACCTATTAAGTTTCCAGTTTATGTCATATTCAGGTAACACTGTTTTCACCTAGAACTTATACCACCTAATGGTTAAATGTTGAGCTGCTAACCTCAAGGCCAGCAGTTTGAGACCACCAGGCGTTCAACAGGAGAAAAGACCAGGCTTTCTACTCCCATAAAGAGGTAAGTCTTGGAAACCGACAGAGGAAGTTCTACCCTGTCCTATAGGTGCCGTGAGTTAGGACTGACTCGATGGTAAGCGAGAACGTTTAGTACTTTATTTGTGGCATGTCTCCCTCATCGTCACTCTAGGCAAAGAAGCCCCTTGGCCTCTGCCCTGCTGGAGCAAGCGTTACAAAGTATCCTTAGTGTCGATAAATCCTCAAAGGGCATACCACTCTGCAGTCAGCTTCCTGCCCAAGGGTCCTCAGTTTGACTCCTTTGTCCCTGTGCCAAGGTCTCAAGTGCCGGTCCTCTGTCAATGCCTTTCCTCGCTGGGAAGTGGGAATCTCAGGGCCTAAAAGACTCTTCCTTAATTGCTTTGGGACTCTTTTTGCTTCTGAGATAGGTTCACTTTATACCCAGCAGAATAGCAAAGTTGACCAATTCTTATGTCCAGAGTCCCACTTACCAACTTGCATGCTGCTACCCAGCCATTTGGTGGCAATTACAAAGAAAATGGATAGAAGTCGTTCCAGTGCACTTCAATGTCTCAATGCAACAGCTTCTTTCCTTGTGTGGGCCCTGAGCACTACTCCACAGCACTGCTGATTACCTAACACAACATGTTTATTACATCCTTCCTTCACTGAAGGAGGACGGGCATCACTGCAGCGAAGCACGCAGTTGCTAGTGGAATGGGGGATGTTTCAAATCCACAAGCTGTCCCTTAGGAGATGTGCTCTTAAAAGGGCTCTATCGTCCTAGGAAACCCTATGGGGTGTTCTACTCTCGTCAGAGATGGTTATGAGTAATCAGAATGGCCTCAACCACACCCAGCGGGAACAACCCTTCACCGAGATAGCAGACTCCTGGATGGCCAGGGCACGAAGGTCTTAAACCCCACGTTTGCTCTGCAAGGAGGTACGTTGATAGGTTGCCCAACCAAACAAGGAGCCACTCGCTAAGAAAAGGAGGTGCTGCTCAGGACTCGGAGTCCACCGATGATGAATTCTGGTAAATACAAGTACCAGAATGCAAGTGCTGCCGCCCTACAAGAAGGATGCTTCCAAGGCATTCTGACATGCTCGTTATATATGCACTGAAAGGAGCTTTGCACTTCGAATGATACATTTTGGGATGAATTAGTACTTAGTTAGAAAAGTAAGCAAACAAGCAAGCAAAGACTGAATAACTCCAGGAAAAAGAAAAAGAAAATGGCCAATCACAGTAAAACGCCCTGGTGACACAGGGGTAAGCACCTGGCACTCACCAAAGGTAGTGTTTTGAACCCCACAGGCTGCTCTGGAAAAATAAAGATGTGAACAAACAAACAAACAAAAGACAGAAAGATGTGGTGGTTTGTGTCTGTGAAGAGACCTGAACACCCAGCGGGCAATCAATCCTACAAGGTCACTGAGTCAACATCGACCCTCACCAACAATGGGCTCATAATTTCGTCACCTGTCTCTTTGGTGTGAGAACTAACATACTGCTTTCACATTGACCTGCATGTCATGGTTTTGGTTTTGTTATGCTTTAACTTACACAATTTTTAGGAAGAGCTGGTTTGCCACTTCAACCAGCCAAACCAAACCAATGGGCATCAGTCCATGTTGACTCTTAGGGATCCCATGGGACCGAGGAGAATGGTCCCATCTGGCTTCTAAGGCTATAAATCTTTAAGGAGACAAGACTGCCACATCTTCCTTCCAAGGAGTAGCTGGTGGATTTGAATCATGACCTTGTGGTTAGCAGTCCAGTGCTTCCTTCACCTGCCATGCCACCAAGGCTCCTTCCACTTCGGGAACTCACTGTCACCAAGTTCATGCTGACTATTAGTGACCCCCCACATGTGGGTCTCTGAGACAGTAGCCATCTACTGGAGTGGGATGCCTAGTCTTTCTCTTGGAGCTACTGGTGGTTTAGAACTGCTACTCCTGAGGAGCAGAGGCCAATGAATAAGCACCACGCCACTCTGGCTACTTCCACTTCAGGGAAGCTCCTTTCGAAAGCTTATTTACTTACATCAGTAAGAAGAAAGCTGGGCAAGAGGTGACCCTTGGATAGCTCTAGGTTTGCCTGACTGTGAACAGTGATGGTTTAATATCCCAACAAGTTTTATGATTATTACTACTGTATTTTGCCAAATTCTGGAAAAGTGACTATAATAGACCCTTTTAGATCTAGTTCTCAGCCTTCGGTTTGTTATGGAGTATGGCTCTTTCCCAACATCTAGGAAAACAGTGGAAACAGCGGTGTTCATTTTTCTGTTTAACTTTGCACGAAGCCACAGAGAAAAACGTACATTTCACAAGAACAAAGCATCCTATTAACAAATCTGCAATAAGTCACCGATGCTACTTGTCGTTAGCAGATGCCACCGGGTCTACTCCAATTCACAGAAACCCGTGTGACAAGACAGAACTGCAGGTCCCCAGGCCTTTACCCGCCCAAGGGGCTTACTTTGTGAGTTTCAAGGGTCAACCTTTCAGTGAAGTTGAGCATTTAACTGTCAGTGCCCCAGGGGTCCTTATACTTAGAGCTCCTTTCTTTGTTTTTGTTTTTTTGTATTTAAAAATGTTAAAATAAACAAAGTGGAGGATCATTAAGTTTGCTTGCTTTTTTAAAAAAATCAAGAAAATGTCACCTACCCTTGAGGGGATCATGCTCTGCTCTCATGATATCGATCAGGGAGTTTTCCAGTGAGTGCATGTTCAAGCTGTCGTACATTCTGCTGCGATCCTGAAAAAGAAGAAAAGGGGTGTCTCAATAGCCTCTCAGCGACATTTTCAAAGTCACAATAAAAATGCTACCTAAACCATTTCCCACAACAAGCACAGGATATCTGGTTAACAGTATCAATCAGCCTGCAGCCCGATGTTAACACCAGTAAACGAAGGCTTTCACCAGCTACAATCTCCTGTGCATTGGAGAATACACTCAGTACATTTGTCTTTTTAAAACCTCACATCAAGAATGGTCTAATCTCACGAGTAATAGCAATATAATAACAGTACATTAATTTACAGTGTTCTCATTCTCAAATTACAAAATGTATACACAGAAAGCAACTTTAGTAGATTATCTAACTTGTGTTTCTCCTTTGTCTATGAAGATGGACATTGGCACTTGAAAAATAAGAATTCAGGGGGAAAAGGATTTTAATTCCATATTGCACCATACTTTAAACATCTATCAAACAATTTATGTTGTTTGACTTGGTGTCTGAATAGATTTTCATTATAATGAATGTAGACATCTGATAAATTAAAAAAAAATTAAAAGCATGACATACTAATATCAGAAGATCAACCCCCAGATTATTTATATTCAAATCTCACTCTTAAGGTGCTCACCTATGGTTTCTGGCTTTCTAATCTCTTCTCGTGCTCTCTACCAACTCTCCCCGCAAAAAAAAAAAAATAAAAGGCATTTTCTACTTTGAAGTCAGAACAAAGATGGTGTTTTTTAATGCAATCAGTACTCATTTGCTACATGTTAAAGTTGGACAGTTTGCTTACTACACCAAAGCAGAAAGCAATGTGATTTTTCAGTGATCATGTATTCATCCTGTACGTATATTCTACTCAATGCATACTCGCGATACATGGAACAAATCAGGAAGAGGAACTCCCACAACAACCTGAACTTATCTTTGAGATCACTGTACTGTGGTGGCTTGTGTGTTGCTGTAATGCTGGGTACTATGCCCCCGTATTTAAACACTGGTAGCAGATTTCAGTACAGCTTCCAGACTAAGACACACAAGGAAAAGGGAGGGGGGGGCCTAGCACTCACTTCTGGAAAAAACTGGCTGCTGGACCCCCTATGGATAAGAGAAGGACCTGTTGCCGGAAGATGGGCCCCTTGTGTTGGACAGCTCACTGCCATCAAGGAAGTGACCCCTCTGTGGGTTGGTTTCCGAGGCAGTCACCATTACGGGAGTACAAAGTCTATTCTTTCCCTCGGAGTTGCTGGTGGTTTCAAACTGCCAACCACGAGGATCAGAGACCAACGTGTAACCACTACGCTTGAGTGGGAAGGCACTCAGAATAAGACTCGTCAATCTTAATGAAGTGGATGGAGTCGAGCTTTCAGCACCTTCATTTGCTGAAGGGGCAAAACTCAAAATGAGAAGAAACCGCTGCCAACATCCATCACTCATCAGTATGTGGAACATATGAATTATGATGCTAGCAAACCAGGAAGCCATTGAGTATGAAACAGGGCATATAAAGACCAATATATCCTAGGCATTAGTGAGCTGGCATGGCCTGGTATTAGCCATTTAGAAGTGAAATTAGATGGTCTACAATGCAGGGAGTGAAAAAAATGGAAAAGGAATGCTTCAAAAACAGCAGCTCCATCCTGCAGAACAGAGGTGGAATATCCACACGAAGACCACTTAGCACAGCTATTACTCAGACTTACACACCAGTGATGCCAAAGATGAAAAGACGGGATGACTTTTTTTACTACATCAGAGTCTGAAACTGAACTTGCAATCAAGAAGTACTGATAATTACAAGTGACCGGAATGTGAAGACTGGAAACGAAGAAGATCAGTCGCTAGAAAATATGGCCTTGGTGACAGAAATGATGCCGGACATGGCATAATGGAACTCTGATGCAAGACATAAACCTCAACTCCACATGTGGACTTCACTGGTCAGTATGGACAAGAATCAAAGTGACTTTGTGTCTACAGCAAACCCCACAGAGAAGCTCCCCATCAGTCAGAACAAGCAGTTGACTGTCGAGAGACTACTGTTGCTCATAGACAAGTTCACATTGAAGCTGAAAAAAATTCAAAGAAGTCCACCACATTCTTGAGTAGCTCACACCTGAATTAGAAGTCATCTCACGAACAGATTTGACACAGAGAACACTAATGAGCTGAGGGATGACAAAGCCATCATATGTGAAGAAAGCAAAAGGTCATTAAAAAGACAGATAGGAAAACGGCAAAACAGATGTTAAGAGACTCTGAAACTTGCTCTTGTCTACAGAGAAGCTAAAGAAAGCACAGCATGTGATGAAGTAAAAGGGTTGAACAGAAGACATCACAGGGCAGCTCAGAAAGTGTTATACGTGAGCGTGCAGAGGCCTGAATCAGAAAACCGAAAACGAAGAACATTCTTGGCATTTCTCAAGATGAAGAAATGAAGAAAATATTCAAACCTTGAATGGCAATATTAAAGGGTCCTATGAGCTGAAAATTTAAACGATGCAGTAATCACCCGAAGACAACGGGAAGAATACACAGTCACTGAACCAAAAATAATTTCAGGAGGTAGCATATGATCAAGAACCAATTAAACTGACGGAAGATTTTCAAGCGGCGTTGAAGGAATTAGCAAAAAGTAGGCACCGGGAAATGACAGCATATCAACTGAGCTGTTTCCATAAGCAAATGTGACACTGCTGGCCAACCAAAGAAAGATCTCTATTTACGCCATTCCAAAGAAAAGTGCTCAGGTACCATCATTAAGATCACATGCAAATAAAATTTTGCTCAAAATAATTACACATTTAAATTGAGCTTATACAGAACCTGTACTTAGATCACGAGGCAGCCAGTGGAACAGTACACGAGGAAGCTGTGTGGTAAGTACCAGGAGAAGTCTGTCTTTGGGTTGTATTCTTGCATCATACTGCTCAAGCCATATGCTGAGCAAATCATCCAAAAGTCTGAACGATATGAAGAATGTGGCTGGAGAAAGGCTCACTGACAGCCCACAAAACGCACATGACCAAACCTTGCCTGCTGAAAGCCAAGACAACTTGAAACACTTTCTGACGAAGATCAAAGAATTCACTGGGAATTTCACCTCGTGTAAAGAAAGCGAAAACAACAACAATAACAACAACAAAATCTGACAACTGAACTGAAAAACATCCTCACGACAAGGGGAGAAAGACTTGGGCCTTGTCAAGGATCGCCTTTCATTCTGATCCACAAGCCGTGCCTCTGGAAGCAGAGAGCTGCATTGGGCAAATCTGCTGCCAACGCCCTGTTGGAAGTGTTCCAAGGCAAAGACATCACTTTGAGGATTAAGATGAATCTGCCAGAAACCATGCATGTGTGCATACATTTGTGGGTGACAACCTTCACCAGTTTCTCAACCAAGAACATGCTAAACAAAATCACTGCCAGCGTGTATACCGATTCATAGGGACCCCATAGGGCCGGGTACGACGGCCCCTTGTGGGTTTCCTTTCCGGGTGTAGAAAACCCCATCTTTCTCCTGCGAAGCCACCGATAGTTTCACACTGCTAACCCTGTGGTCAGCAGCCCAATGCGTCAGCTGCTATATGCCACCAGGGATTCCCCCATCCAGAGACCAGACCCAACCAGCCCTTTAGAACCTGAAGAGAAAAGCATAAGATTTCCCAGGAATGTGAGTATGCTCACCCATTTATTTTAAAGTTTAAATTAGGGTTGTTAGATCTTTACCAGCTAAGAGCAAGGGATGGAGGCGGATTCAATGTTTTAGACTCAACAAGTTTCCTCAGCTAATTTTCATAGGCCAATAGCCAGGTCCTTCTTCCTAGTCTTTGTAAAAGTTCTGCTGAAACCTGTCCGCCACTGGTGAGAGCCTGCTGCTGTTTGGCAAACTGGTGGCACAACAACACCAAGGTCATCACAGCCCCACAAACGGGCCGGCAGGTGGTGACACAAAATGAAAATTCCCATTGGTTTAAAAGCGAAAGAGAAATCCTGAGGCGATTTCAAAGTAATTATAAACACAGCAATATTGATTAGCACCAGTAAATAACGGCCGAGCACGGCAATGAAACCAAACTCATTTCTACCCAAAACTGCCAAGAGGTTTTTTCAGAAATAAGAATCGCTCTGTGAGCACAGTTGGCACAGTGGCTGAGCCAACCCCCCCTCAGAGAAAGGCTACGGGCAGTGCAGAACTGCTCGGTAGGAGTCTGAACTGTAAGCCCTCAAATCCTCAAGCTTCCTCATGCCACCACCCTTTAATAGTTCCTCATGTTGGGGTGACCCCCCAACCATAAAATTATTTTCATTGCTACTTCATCACTGTAGTTTTGCTAGTTGTAAATCGGGCTACCCCTGTGAAAGGGTCATTGTACCCCCAAAGGGGTCACGACCCACAGGTTGAGAACCGCTGTCTTAAGGAGTAGGTTGCCTCACCTTTCCCTTGTGGAGGGGCTGGCCCCACCGTCATGAACAATGTATACTTCACCTCTTCTGAGACTTGAGAATGATTTGGGACAGGGTCAACTAAACAGCGTCAGGCCAGATATGACAGAAGCCCACCACACAAGCAGGCAAAAAAGGGGATCAGAAAGAGATGGGTCTGGAGAAAACATGCCATCTGATAGTCAAATTATTTTGTTTTTCTTAAACCCCATCAGTTGCCAGAATCACCCATGAAAGCTTCCCTAAAGCGCTAGAAAGGTTCAAAGACCAAGAAAGGAAACAAACAAAAAATCCAAATCTTGAAGAGGTTGGTCAAAGAGCCCAGAGGATACCTATGCTAAAGAATAATTCATAAGGTCAGCACCTGACTTTTAGAATGAGTGCAACAAAAGGCATTCAAAGGTGGCTTTTCGATAGGTGATTGCTTCTGACTTTGACATATTCAAAACTCTGTTGCATTTCCACAGTATCCACCTTTTTACTTTTGAAAAGGAAACAAGGATTCAAGAAACACAGGGTGGGAGTGGGTGCTATGGAACAAACCCTGTGGGTCTTACATTCAGATACCTAAGCAGGTGTGCATTTGGTGAAGCAGAAAGAGCAGCTTCTGTTCTATTTTTAATGTCTGTGTTGAGTTCTTTCACTTTAAAATAGCGAAGAGCTGTGCTAATATTGTTCCACGTCTTAAGTAAATACTGATTATGCTTTCCCGATCACAGGTTTTGCACCATGTTGAAATAGCAGCAGATTGTGTGCTACGCTGCTGTTACACAATGTAGCCCTTAATCTCACACGTTCTTACATCATTCTCTGGTTGTTTCACGTCGGCCCTTGATTCACCTCATCTGGTCTCTCGGCTTCTCAAAGGCTTCCCCAATCCACTCCACAGCTAATTTAAACACGACCATGCCCAGGGCATTCTTTCTGAACCTCAACAAAGTCACTCTAAAGGTAACAATGTATTTTTTTTAAGGCTAAGCTAAAGCTATTCTATACCCAAAGAAAATGAAAACACATGGATACTTGTGGTGAGAATGTAGCGGACACCAGTAAAGAACAGAAAGTGAGAGGGGAAGTGTAGGAAGAACGTATCCATCGGCTACACTACGTGTACAAGAACCCCCTCTATGGCATTTCATCTCATGTTCAGGTGGATGAGCTGGTGAACGTGAGGCAGGAGTTGGAATCAACTCAATAGCAGCAGGTTGTTTTTGTGTGCTCTTCAACAGTTTGATGCCTCCCAACAGCCAAGAACCAGTGTGAGGAATACTTTTTTAGGTGGAGGACTGGAGTTGATCTACTACAATCTGGTGTCGAATTCTTCTCTACAATGGTTGATCTAGATTGCCTTTTTGGGTGAAATGAATAGACTTCAAGTTACTTTTATAAGGGGGATGGCCTAAGTGATCATTTACCATAATAGCGTGGCTGTTGGAGATTGGAGGGAGGCAGCTTCAGTTAATTCACGGTAGGCAACGTGGACACACTCCCGCACTGCAGGCAGAACTCAGCATTCAACATGCTGACCTTCTCTGGGCTAGAAGGCAGGGGGCGCATGTATCCTATGGGCTCTGCATATCCTATTACTGCTCTGAAGGCATGCCCCTGCTCTGCTCGGCATACAGGAAAGCGGTGTGCTAGTAGTAATCCTCTCAGTTAAAAGTCCATTTAGTCTCCGATTTAAGGACATCCGAGTGAGTATTAATGACTAATTATAGTGCATCCACTTGAAAATTCCACCTGAAGGTTACATAAGAATTTTAGCTTTCAAGGATGATTTCTTACAAGGACAACTAGCTAGCAGTGTTTTAACGTAATTCCTCGTCTTAAAGATACTAAGAAAGAAATACACAATATTACGCCAGAAATGTACATAGCAATTTATACTTGAGTTATTACAACAGTTTTAAATCTGACATCTTTCCCTGAAAAAAAAAAAACACACCCCAGAAACAGCTCATTTAAGAAAAATATCAACACCAAAAACGTCAAATCCAATTAAAATAAAACCAGACTAACAAATCTGTATCTTTCCTATTGATTGAATTTAATTTTATGTTCAACTGTTGGCCCTGGGAGACCAGGTTTAAAAATCTGGGTGTTAATACTAGAAATGAGGATTTTAAGGCCTAATCAGCTTGAGACTAAAGACATAAGAAACCACGGGTTTTTAAATAATGTATTTGTTAGCAAAAATGTATTCGTAATCAAAATATCCTTATATAACTTTGAAAAAGTTCAGAAATGTAATGTGCTCAACTTTTTGAAGAGCTGAAGTATTTTCTGTAATTTCTCTGTTACCAAATAGTGGGGAATGACTCCACAGTCTATGATAGCAACCCCAGTTTGTAGTTGCTACTGTGTTTTGAAGAACCTCTGCTTCAAATACCTCAGCCTTTTATGGAAAGAGAGAACAATTTATTCCTAACAATTACCCTGAGGGGGCATGTCCTTGGACCGCTGTTCACTCCTTCAACCCAAGAAACCAAGACCCTTGCATTTTAAAAATAATAGGAGGCAGGGTGAGGGGGCAGGGAAAGGAGAAAACAAAAAGAAAGGCCAAAAGACCAAATAGACCAGACCAAGTCAAAGAGCTGCTCCCAGGCCTCAGATGGCCCAGTTCTCTTACTCAGAGATAAGCAACTGGTCATCCAGACATGAGAGCTGCCACATCCTCCCTCATCCAGGTCTCAGGTCACTTCAAGTTGGTCACATCACACTTAGGTCCAAGCAGACAGAGTCCACAGCAACGCCAGTGTCTACAGAAGTGCATGCGTGTGGGCAGTACATGTGCGTAAGGATCCTGACTTGGGCTGTGGAGATCCTGACTCACAGTGGCCATAGCAGCACCACCACAGACCATGGTCTCCAAGGCTCTGACCTTGAGGAGGCATACTGCAGGGCTTTCCTAAAAAGGGTGGATATGAACCACCAAGATCCCTGCTAGGAGTGAGTAACCATGTGTAGTACCCAGAGACGTGTGTGTGGTGTGTAAATATGTGTCTGTAAGCATCAAAATCCTTCCTAAAATGTATCAGCTTGAAGTGCCAGTTTGCATGCAGATAAAATAGGGAAAAGGACATGTGGCTTGGGCTGCAGTTGGGACAGGAGGGCTAAGGCTTTGTCCTGTGCTGCCCCCCCCCCATCTGAAATCATTTCAATAACTTAATTTTCCCGAACCCGGTGGACTCTATGCAAGTTAGTGTGCTTGCTTTCTTCTTCTGAGTGTTTCTTCCTATACACGTACTCTCCACAGACATCTCTACTATCAACATATTTATAATACTTCCCTCCTGACGTGCCACTTCCTAGACACCCAGGCACTGGACTCAAACAACACAACAGTGCAACCACAAAAATGCTCCTGACGTGGCCTAACTGGGCCACAAAGGCGAAGCCAGTAAGCTTTGGATCTTATCAGCAAGTCTAAAGGGAGATCCTGAGAGCACTACTGTAGCAAACAGACAGTACTTACCTAAACATCACCACCTCTGGGAAATTATTTTAAAAGCTAGTTTATTTAGATTACAATGCTACTTCTCAAAACCTCATTGAGTTGACGCTAATGTAAAGCCTCAATGCTATATAGGAGTGCCATCAGTCATTTGCATACAGTCTGTGTATTTGTGGATCCAGCTCCATTAACTAACGAAGGACTTCGACAGCTACATGGAACATCACCCCATTCTTCACAAGACTTCCAGATCCATCCTGCTAGGAGTCTCTAAGAAAGAGCCCTGATGTGTGAGGACTGGGCTTTCTATTTGCTCTATAACTTTCTTCATTATAGGGACCAGGGCCTACTTAAATGCCTCTGCTGGAAATCACTGTGTGCCAGCCACAAAGGCCTGGAAGACAATTTGATCGACTCCCAGCTTTCTGACTGGCTCTGGGCCTGTCACTCTTTGTGGGAGCAGACAGTCTCCTCTTTTCCCCATGGAGCGACTGGTGGGTTCAAACTGCTAACCTTGTAGTCAGTCAGCAGCCCAACTTGTCACCCACTGCGCCACCAGGGCTCTTCCGAGGAAACCGATGCTTGAGAAGATGATAATCAAAGAGCAGCAATAGAGACTTAGAATGACATCAATATTAAGCACTGCCGTTCTTTATAAAGGTGGGGGGGAAAATCACAACTAAGACAGGGCTTGACTAGAAATATCTGTGTCAAATGTAGCTCCTGTCATGACAAAGCTGTACTACAGATGCCTGTAAAACTCGGATGGAACGTGAAGGTGATGTGACTTTGAGCCCTCATCGCAACTCATTCTAAAAGGAGATAAAATCTGTTCAGCTCCACTGATGTTTAAAGTCAGGTGCTCTTACAAACCCCAGTTGTATTGAATTCACTTTTCTAAAACCAAATGTAATAGATGGTTTGGAAAGCATAAAATGGTGACAAATTACGTTTCAATTGGGAAATGAAGCATTTTATATTAAGTTGTCTCATAAAACCAAATAACCCTTAAAACAAACAAACAAAATAGTAAGCAGACTGCTTTCATGTCCTGACATCTGCTTAGACAGGCAGAGGTGGAGAACAAATAAGAAATCCTAATAAGACATACTATGCTCCTAGCCAAAAACCCTGAAAAATACACGCTGTGCAGCCTACCTGGTCTATTCTGGATGTCCCAGCTGCAGTGCACCAACTATCTTGGAGTGACTCTGAGCCCCAAGCTGGCAACTGCAAACTAGATCTCACCTTCAATAGCATAGAAGTTTACATCAGAAAGGAGCAGTTCTCTTCCCAATATCCACCCACAACCGAAAAAGGAACAACAACAGCAACAAAACAAATTCCTGCTATCTTGTATCTTTTGTCTTGTCCTCTAATGGTTTTAGAGCAAAAAAACAAATAGAAGGCTTTTGAAATAGCCATCAGGAAAGTTCATTAACTGGCAACATCAATAACATACAAGGCCTAATGAAAATCTAAGCACATTCAGTATGGGGCCATATTTAGAAAACAATCACTGAAGCAGCTGAGATAAATACAAATTTGATGTTTAAAAAAATGAGGGCCCATCATCACAGCTGTGGCATTTTCTAATACACGTACATCTGATCAGAGACAAATCTATGCACCATCACAATGGTGGCACTTTGGGTCTAGCTAGCTCATACGCGAGCTGCAGCTTGGTGGACTACAGAAGACATTGAGCATTAAGAAGCGGCCTTCTCTACCAAGAATCATGGCAGGTTTTCTCTCCCCCTTAGGAAGCTGAATCTCTATTGTGCTAGTAGAGAAATGTTTCCATATTGCTCAGTTACATCTTTTGAAAAACTACATTCTACATTGAAAAAGTGGAACATTTCTTTCATTTCCTAACTTTTACATAGGAAGACTACCACCCTCCACCCCAAGCAGTTCTTTTTAAAGATTGCCATTTTTGAAGTCCTCATTTACATACCATTCTTACCTGTAAGGGTAAGAGTGTGTTACTATTGTTGTCTGTTCGGAACACGTTATCTTCGATCCAAGATTTTGGAGCCAGCGAAGGTGTCGAGCGAGTGAACTTCGGTGGTGCTATGACATTACCAGAGAACGGTTTCTTCAAGGGTGAAATCTGACTCAGAGTTCCCGGAATTCCCATGTTTCCAGTGCGCCGGTGATCTCTGCCATGCATTGCTCCCCAGGACATACTTCCAGTGCCCCAGCCACTGCTCTGATGGGTGCTCCAAGGAGACTGCTTCAGAAGAGGCTGAAGAAACACACAGCCGCCGTTTAAAGCACGGGCATTTCACTCTATCCAGATATAAACGAAGAACTGAGAATACCCAAGTGAAATCCACCAAGGCTACGAGATACACCTTGCCTAGTTTGCAAACAAGTAAATAAAGGCTTGCGATCTTGCTACATTGCAAACATGTATTCAGTGCTGTGGGTACATTTTCACTGTCTTGTTGGCCATAAATTATGAGGGCCAAGCAGACACTTTGTGGCAACTACTAAAATTAAGAATCACCCCCAACCATCCTTTTCCAGGGGAAACTATAGGCATGATAAGTATTTGGAGTGGGGGGTGGGGGGTAGAGGGACACACACTTTAAATAGATGTATTTAAGTTGAGGGATCTTAAAGCAACCACAATCTGCTAGGTACAAGACTAAATACAGGGTTCTTCATTAACTAACATTTCCCAGTCACGTGAGTTAAGTATTTAGGCCTTCGGAAAATTCCAAACCACGTTGTAAACATTAGCCAAGGTGGACACTGGCAATGCTTGATGTTCCTCTGTGGCATGGATTAGATATGGCCTTTAGAAGAGGAACAAAATAAAACATTCCCCCCAAACAGCCATTTAAAACATTCCAAGTATTTTATTCCAGCTACCTTTCTGATGTAGGTAGGGGGTGTTTGCCTCTATTTCACTAATTATCCATGCACACTAGTAAGTAATTATCTGATGTTACCCCTAGGTGGACCCACAGAGATCTAACAAACAACTGGGTGTTTGGATTCTTCTAGTAGGAGGCTTCTAGAGACATGGCACTCCCCCACCCCACCCCACCCCCGCCCACACTTAGCACATTCATTTCCAAAAGTAAATTCTATTTCCATCAAGGCTGATTGTGACAAAAGTCAACTCAGTCTTCAGAGAATTGAAAATCCACCAGAAGACTGTCATTAGAGGACCCCCCCCCCCACCAATACTCTGAAGATTTTAAATTAAGGATTTCTTTTTTAATAACTTGGACTGAGGTTTAGCAAAAGGAAGCATGGAACATGCAGTTACTATAAATCAATAAATACAGCACTCGATAAAGTCAGATCTGCTTCTTAAAAGACATCTTTTTGAAAACCATACCTACATACATCTTTTAAAAACTTGTACCTGTAATCCGAGTACTATATATACACTACCCTTTCCTTCATTCAAGGGCCTTGTTTCTTCCCTGAATTAGGCTCAGGGTTCAGTTCTCCAGGCAGGTAATTGTGTCTGCCCATGTACCCAAGTCAGACCCATCTTTTGCCCCTGAGCAGGTGAGAGAATAATGGATCTGGTTTCTAACTTCCTCTATCATTAATAACAGAAAACACCTAGGTTTTTCTGGGGCTAGTTTCTAGTTTGGAAAACAAAACAAAAACATGGCACTGAAAACACAAATGGGAAAGTGTTGCTGACGATTATGGAAATCGTGGAAAGGTGGCAGAGTCTTCCCAAATTTTCGAGTTATGCTCACTGGAGGCAAAATCCTCCTTCCTTGGGAGGAAATCAGAGATTGAGCACCATTCACGGGACTCGGACTCATTTCCACCGGGAGCTTATCCTCCTCTCCAAGGGGTTAACCCTTTAAAATGGGCAAAGTTCCGCGAGCAACTAACTACAGGTTTGAGGTCAAATTTCTCTTGGTCAATCCTTAACCACGTGACCCCAGATATGGAAATGACCTCAAGAAAAGCTGTCCTAAAGGAACTGCTGACCTGCTTAAAAACAAGCAGCACATACTCTTTTCAAAGTCAACTCACCCACCCAGCAGCCAGAGAAATCTGAATAGAGAATCGCCGAGATGTTCTGCATCACAAAGACGCCCCCCCTCCGCGCATAAAAAACCATTTAAGGCCTTTTCCAACCAAGGTGCCCAAGTGAAGCTACAATGTTGTGGTTGGGTGGCACCCGGTCGATTTCCAACTCGGTGCAATCCGGTCCTACAGGGCGGAGTAGAACCCTCCCTGGGCTGGATATTATTTTCCGAGCTCAGGCCGCCAGGTCTTTCTCCCGCAGAGCTTCCTGTGTGTGTATGGGGGGGGGGCAAACGGTGCAGCCCCCCTTTCTCTCCGTCGACGGCCCCCGGCCTTAAGCATGACACACCCCAAAATTCACGAAGGAAGTTCAGGTCAAAAGGTGGCCTTGACCCTCACGACTCGGACACGGACCCCCCGAGTGGCGCTTGGTTGTAAACTGCTTTTCTGGAGTCCGGGAAGCAGCGCCTCCCCACTCCCGAACCACCCGGGGGGCACGGGGTTCACCCCGCGGGGCCGCCGCTGCCCGGCTCGGGTTTCCAGTCATCTGACAGCTCGGCGGGGACGCGCCGGCGGGACGGGAGACGGACC